TGGACTTATAGAAGGAACTTTCAAACGATTGAGAAAAAGATGGAGCGGAGTTAATAAGCCAGCTAAAGCGGAGATACCTGTCACCAATACTCGTTATCACGCGTGCTCTCCAAGGGCACTTCATAAGAATAGCCACATTTTTCTGAAAAATGTTTGTTAAAGACATAAAAATCGTCCCATCTCCACACACGGGGCTCTCCAACCAATTTTCAGATCTATTTCTTTCTACGTTATGTGATATTGGAAGATGTCTTGGCTCTTAATCATTGTATACAACGAAGAGCTCTTTGTATCACCTTATAATGCTATGAAATAAATTTAAGAAAAGCTTACCCTTTGCGAGACAAAGCTAAAATACGAAATTTGTAAATGACATCAAAGCCAACCATCTTCGAAAGCATCAAGCAAAAGAACACTTTTCGTTGATTACACAAAGCACTTTTTTACCGCAGGTCAGTTTCTCATTGCGGGCGCATAAGGCAATATGGCGGATGAAAAGTGAAAGAGTCGTGGTTGAGTTATGGCCGTTCTGTCGTAATCGTTATGTTGTCAATTTAAATATCAAAATGGGCATTAGAGTACTGGCCCTCTCAACAACTCCAAATCTGAGAAATAAGTCGCAGCTTGTTTTTTATCGCAGCACTCAGTCTTTCCGAACGGCAACGGAATGTGCACTTTTGTACGGTTTCATGGCTGATATAATCCCGTGGAAACATAACAATGTACAGAGGAGGTTAGAATCTCCTATTGAGAAGTTTTTCTTGCAATTTATTTCAAAAGTACCCGGAAAATGTAACTAATCGTCATGAATTGTAATATTATCTTAAGTCAGTAATACGATCGGTGAGCAACTGGTGACCAGTAAAACCTCCGTATTTCTCTCAAACTATTGCGATACCCAGAAGTTTTTTATAGCAGAGGAAAAGACAATACCTCTGCGTAAAGTATCAAGTATTTCACTTTACTTGAAGCTCTGCGTGAACTTTTTTTTGAAAACTCAAGAAATTTGCATAATTTTTACTNTGTGACATTCGAGTTTAACATGTCGGCGATGTAGCTCTTTGAGATCGCTCTTGATGCGTTCACTGGAGGTGTCGGCTGCTCCTTGCTTTAAATTAACATCATGAACAATGGCTTTTAGGTCTTCTATCTCTGCTTGCGAGTTCTCTAAGCTCGTTTGCAGGGTTTTGTTTTCTTCTTCAAGAAGAGTAATCCTCTTTTTATAAGTTTCCAACTCGGGAAGTACAGTTAATAGCATGTTGAGTTTCTCTTCAATACCGGAGAGCCTCGAGTTTGTTGTTTCGAGGCACTTTTTGCATTCATGTTTGTGATGTTGATCGAACTCGTCTTCCTCGTCTGTTTGAGAGCTGCCTTCCCTTGTTCGTTTTCTGCCTTTATCCACGGCTCCTTTCTTGTTCGATGATTCGTCAGGCATTGCGAATGGTTATTAAATATATTTTAACCACCACTAGGGCTGCGAAACTGTAAAGATACTACGAGCACATTTTCGGCGTGACCGCCATCTTTCGTCCCTCGTCCTTATGTTGTTATTGTTTAAGAGTGTATACATGGTAGTTTGTGAGAATTTTGTTTCACCTGGATTGCTGTACAATTTGCCAGAAATGTTGTCATTGAAAAAAACACAAAATTTGAACATATTTTAGTGTAGATTTGGCTGTTCAAGGGTACCCCCCTGAAAAAAAAGAAAAGAAAGAAGCTTGAACAAAACTAATACCATATCTACCAATACTTCACCAATTTATGCCTATGTGGAAAGTTTGAGCAAATTCTGTGATGCGCACTGTAGCACCTTTTGCATGGTTTTCTCATGGATAGCCTCTTAAATACTCATTGTGTGTGGGGGTTAAATCCGCGGGGGTCCAAATCCTCTGCGACCGGTTCACCAGCCGCGAACAGTAGTCATGCCCGAAATCCATAAGCTCGAAATTAGAATAATGAAGTATGTTTGTTCAATGAGTTCAATTATATTTTGATTATCAAAATACACGTTAAAACGGCGAGGATTTGGATGAACACCCATTAGATAGAGATACTTTAATTGTAGCATTTGTTGTAAAACGAATTAAATATACACGTAACGTAAGCTGGTAACAAGCAGCAAATAAATAATTTATGGATAAAATCTTAGAGCACAACGCACTAAGTAGAATACTCAATTATTGCTTTGAATGAGTGTTTAAGAAGTCTGACACTTTCTAGCACTTATGATTTCAAGATGTTTGCTGATATCAACCTAGATTTTTAAACTTCTCATACTATCAAAAATGTTGATTTGCATTTAAATAGGCTTGAAGTCTAATTTACATACTTTGGATCGCCATTTCTTTTCGGAACACGGATGTCATGATCTTTAAAGAAACGTGTATGCGAAATTTTAAATCAAGAAAACTGAAAGACCTCGGAAAGTTGCGTTCCTAGAACAATTTTTGCAGTTAAAATTACGAACATGAAACACAAAGTTACCCAAATCGTGACGAAACTGAAGTTATTTTGGTTTATGAATTAAAATTTTGACTTGTTAAGAGCTGGATTTTTTCCCTATATCGTAGTAAGACAGATGTTGATTTTCATTAAACCGACACTTCAACGTGTGTAACTTCACGCTGTATTTGATTTTGATCTAAAGCAGTGTACAAGTTGATATAAACAAAATTAAAAATTATTTCTACACTTCGTAGAGTACAAATAACGCCACAGACGAGTACAAATATCACGCGGTATTTGTACTCTAAAGTACCGGTTAAATAGGTTTTCTCGCATCGCGCAAGCGAAGAATTGAATTGCAGTTACGAAAAAAAAACATGGCGGACAATTTGAATCATATTTCCGACGACGATGAGTCAGAATGGCCGGCAAATATAAATCCAAGTTTATTACATGAATCGAACGAAGAAAAACAGCTAGACGACCTGGAAATTTCTTCATTTATTGAAGAAAATAGAAATAGCAACACGACAACGCGCCGATTCCGTTCCGCTTTGCATACTTCTGTCACGCACTCCCCGTAAATAAATATCTGCGAAATTCGCCCACACTGAAATAACAGTTTGGCGTGTTGGATAGTATCGCCAAGTAGTTTTACAGCAAAACGTCTAATAAGATATATGAATTAACAATTCGCGCAAAAAAAATCTTTCTCTGCTCACTAGGACAACAGAATTTTCTTTTTTCATCTTTATCATAAAGCCCAAAAAGCGTTTTGTCTCTTTTATCTGCCTCTATGGTTTATTAATGTTGTTTCATTAATTACAGAAGAACTTAGAGATTAAGATACTTAGAAGTAAAGTATTTATGACTTAATTTATGTCACACGTACCTATGGAATCTTTACACTCGTGTTTAAACCTTTCTTGTTTAGTAGTTCCTTTGTCTCTTTTTTGTTTTATCAGAAATCACAATTATCTTCTGTGCGTCCTAAAGTTGGGATCTATGTAGCGCAAACATTTTATGTGATACATATGTCACTGTATATACCAACAATTTGTCAGACGAAAAATATGCACAAATGAATATATGTATAGGTAATCACATGATTTCGAGTGCAATTTG